CTTCTAAGGAGCGTTCTGGTTGTACTTCTTCCAAGACAGATTTGTTCATTCTTTTGGCAGTCCATGGTATATTCAATATTCTTCGCCAACACTACAACTCAAAGGCATCAATTCTTCTTTGGTTTCCTTATTCATCATCCAGCTTTCACATGCATATGAGGCGATTGAAAACACCATGGCTTGGAACAGGCACACCTTAGTCCTCAAGGTGACATCTTTGCTGTTTAACACTTTAAAGAGGTCTTCTGCAGCAGATTTGCCCAATGCAATGCTTCTTTTGATTTCTTGACTGCTGCTTCCATGGATGTTGATTGTGGACCCAAGTAAAATGAAATCCTTGACAACTTCAATATTTTCTCCATTTACCATGATGTTGCTTATTAGTCCAGTTGTGAGGATTTTTGTTTTCTTTATGTTGAGGTATAATCCGTACTGAAGGCTGTATAGTCTTTGATCTTCATCAGTAAGTGCTTCAAGTCCTCTTTACCTTCAGCAAGCAAGGTTGTGTCATCTGCATATCGCAGGTTGTTAATGAGTCTTCCTCCAATCCTGATGCCCTGTTCTTCTTCATATAATCCAGCTTCTTGGATTATTTGCTCAGCATACAGATTGACTAAGTATGGTGAAAGGATACAACCCTGACGCACCCCTTTTCTGACTTTAAACCACACAGTATCCCCTTGTTCTGTTCGAATGACTGCCTCTTGATCTATGTACAGGTTCCTCATGAGCACAATTAAAGTGTTCTGGAATTCCCATTCTTCACAATGTGTATACATACACACACATAAACACACACATATGAGTGATGTTGAGGAAACACATCAATATTCATTATTTCATATAGAATTGAATGTGACTATGGGGCATGATAAATCTCCCAAAGTGAAAATTCATCTCAGATAACTCCAAAACTTGACTAGTCTTTCTGACCCTCTTTCTCCAACTGCATATTGCCAAACGTAATCAGATCAATTCTAAGGCCACTTGTTAGGCCAGAGGCATGACAGTTACGTGCAGTGTAGCAAGCCTTAGGTGTGGCTTTATTAGGTCTCTCGAATATTATATTTCCTTGAAATATCAGCAAAGAAGAAATTGGATTACTATTCCTATTTGCGTTAGCAGTGACAAGAAAAGAAGAGTTGGGACTTTTTCCATGAAGACCTTTTTATAGCCAATAATATTCTCCTTTGTGGATTTGGTCTTCTTAAGAGGCAGAACAATAAGCAACAATAAACATGTGCTGGGGCCTTGTTCATGGAACTTGTGATGTTACCCTTCTGGCATAGTGTTATGTTCACAAGAGTGCTCTTAGTAGACACATTGTTTTAGTACATTTGTTAGCCAGGCCACATCATTGTGGGCCCGAGCACCTGAAAGTAAATAAATATCATGCAAGACTACTGCTGTTGTTGGGTGCCAACAAACTGATTCCAATTCATAGAGACCGCATGTGACAGAGTAGAAATGCCCCATAGGGTCTCCTGGGCTGTAATCTTTACAGCAGCAGATTGCCAAGTCTTTTCTTCCATGGAGTCACTGGTGGGTTCGAACTGTTAACCTTTCGGTTAGCAGCTGAGCACTTAACCGTCACTGGGACTATTAAAAGGCTAAAAATGTGCAGTAGAGTATTTGTGTACACTTAGTAACTTGGAGAGGGCTTAAGAAAGCAGAATTATTTTTAGATGAAATAATATGATGTCTATGATTTCCTTCAAAATAATTTCAGAGGAGGGAGTGAGAGTAAAGATGAGACAAGATTGTTTATGTATTTGTTGATAATTCTTGAAGCTATGACAGGCACATAGGGTTCATTATACTGTTCTCTGTATTTTTACATTTGTTTCAAATTTTCTAAAATAAGAAGTTAAAGAGAGGGATGACATCCAATTCTTTCCCTTCTGTAATAGCCTCATGGTACTTAAACAAATTTGCTTAAGAAAATAATATTACAGACAAGTTAGCAATTTAATATATTTTCTTAAGTAAAATTCATTTATTTATTCAACCAATACTTATTGAACACCACTGTGTGCCACACACTGTGGTGTATACCAGGGCATAAAAATTAATATGCCCCTTCCCTCAAAGAGTAGGGAATATAAACAAGTAAAAAAATAATTATTGTACAATGTGTGATAAATATGCCAAAAAATTTATGTGCAGCAAACAAGAAGGGATCAGAGAAGGCTTCATTCATGGAGACAGTGAATCCTAAAGGATGAGACAGTAAAGAAATCCTTTTAAGCTCTGGGCAATTCTAAGTTTGTTAGTCTAAAAAAAGCAAAGGTTTTAACGTCTGCCTTCCATGGGTTCTTATCATTTTCATAGGCAAACAACAACAAACAGTGGCTACAAATTGATCTTCTCAAAATCAAGAAGATAACTGCGATTGTGACACAGGGCTGCAAGTTCCTGTCCTCTGAAATGTATGTGAAGAGCTATGCCATCCACTATAGCGACCAGGGAGTGGAATGGAAACCTTACAGGCAGAAATTCTTCATGGTGGACAAGGTACAGGGTGGCATCTTGGCAAAGGGAAGACAATTTGAAAACTGTGCTGTGATGAGAATAACGACACCTTGCATTTGACAAAAATGCACAGACAAGCACTACATCTTTTAGTGTTCTAAATACTAGCTGTGCGGGCACCTGGTCTTGGGACAGGGACCATACCATGCACATCACCCTTCTGCTTTGACTGAGCCACCTGTGACACAGAATAAAATGCCAGGGGATGGTGTAAGGCTTAATTAGCTCTGATTGAAAAAGATGGTAAAGGAGTCCAGAAAATTTTCCACTGTGAAATAATACCATATTAGCATTGCCTTTAATATACTTGTCATTTATGAATAATCAAATATTCAAGGCCATAACATTTCTCTGTTATATTGTTATGAAGCAGAAAACAATTGGTATCCTTCCTGATGGGAAGGCTGGATTTCCTGCAAGAGGAACTATTCCATTACACTCCTAAATTCTTCCACTTAGTAGTTATGTGGTTTAGAAATCCCATCAGAGGGAAAGCTAGGGAGATGTATCTTATATTCCAGGAATGGGAATTGGGCTGAAGCCAGTAAGAGAAACAGCACAGAAGAAGAGAAATAATGTTTATTGCATGCTCACCATGTGCCCATCGCTTACCTCAGTTAATGAATTTGAGCCTACTTCTCTCTTTTAAATCCCTGGGTTATTTTTGTTTCGTTGGTTTGGTTTGTTGCCCTTTTCACGAGACCAGGAGGTCCTCATAGCAGGGTACCTGTACTCATTGCCATCGAGTCAATTCTGACTCATAGTGACCCTGTAGGACAGAGTAGAACTGCCCCATAGGGTTTCCAAGGAGTGGCTGGTGGATTTGAACTACCAACTTTTTTGGTTAGCTCTTAACCACTGCGCCACCAGGGCTGCATAGCAGTATAAGCATCATATTTACTGTGAAAAACTAATAGTAGTCCAGTACCCATTCCTGATTTAAAAAACTCTCAGCAAAATTGGAATAGAAGGGAAATTCCTCAACATAATAAAGGGTATTTATACAAAACCGATAGCCAACATCATTCTCAACAGAGAGAGACTGAAAGCATTCCCCCTGAGAACGGGAACAAGACAAGGATGCCCTTTATCATCACTCCTATTTCACATTGTGCTGGAAGTCCTAGCTAGAGCAATAAGGCAAGAAAAAAATAAATAAATAAAGGGCATCCAAATTGGAAAGAAAGTAGTAGAACTATCCCTATCTGCAGATGATATGATACTATACATAGAGAACCACAAAGATGCCACAAGAAAACTAACGGAACTAATACAAAGATTCAGCAGAGAATCAGGATGCAAGATCAACATTTGGATTCCTATTAACCAACAAAGAGAATTTCCAAAGGAGATCAGGAAAACAATACCATTCACAATGGCCCCTAAAAGGATAAAATACTTAGGAATAAATCCAACCAGGGACGTAAAAGACCTATACAAAGAAAACTACAAAACACTATTGTAAGAAAGCAAAAGAGACCTACATAAAAGGAGAAACATACCATGCTCATGGGTAGGAAGATTCAACATTGTGAAAATGTCAATTCTACCAAAGCAATCTACAGATATAATGCAATCCCAATTCAAATACCAACAGCATTCTTAAACGAGATGGAAAAACTAAGTACCAACTTTATATGGAAAGGAAATAAGCCCCGGATAAGCAAAGCATTATTGAAGAAAAAGAACAAAGTAGGAGGCCTCACACCACCTGATCTCAGAACCTACTATACAGCCACAGTAGTCAAAACAGACTGGTACTGGTACAATGACAGAGACATAGACCAATGGAACAGAATCAAGAACCCAGATGTAAATCCATCCACCTATAGTCAGCTGATCTTTGACAAAGGACCAACATCCATTAAATGGGGAAAAGACAGTCGTTTTAACAAATGGTGCTGGCAAAACTGGATGTCCATCTGTAAAAAAAAGAAACAAGAGCCATACCTCACACCATACACAAAAATTAACTCAAAATGGATCAAAGACCTAAATATAAAATCTAAAATGATAAAGATCATGGAAGAAAAAATAGGGACAATGCTAGGAGCCCTAATACATGGCATAAATATAATACAAACCATAACTAACAATGCACAGACACTAGAAGATAAACTAGATAACTGGGAGCTCCTAAAAATTAAACACTTGTGCTCATCAAAAGACTTCACCAAAAGAGCAAAAGAGAACCTACAGACTGGGAAAAAAGTTTTGGCTATGACATATCTGAGAAGGGTTTGATCTCTAAAATCTGCAAAATACTTCAACATCCCAACAACAAAAAGACAAATAAGTCAATTAAAAAATGGGCAAAGGATACAAGCAGACACTTCACGAAAGAAGACATTCAGGCAGCTAACAGACTCATAAGGAAATGCTCACAATTATTAGCCATTAGAGAAATACAAATCAAAATTACAATGAGATACCATCTTACGCCAACATTATTGGCACTAATCAAAAAAAAAAAAAAAAAACCAGAAAATAACAATTTTTGGAGAGATTGGAACTCTTATGTACTGCTGGTGGGAATGTATAATGGTAATACCACCATGGAAAATGATATGGCACATCCTTAAAAAGCTAGAAATAGAAATACCATATGATCCAGCAATCCCACTCTTAGGAATATATCCTAGAGAAATAAGAGCCATCATAAGAATAGACAGACGCACTCCCATGTTCATTGCAGCATGATTCATAATAGCAAAAAGCTGGAAACAACCTAAGTGCCCATCAACAGATGAATGGATAAACAAATTATGGTACACACACACCATGAAATACTATGCGACAATAAAGAACAATGATGAAACGTCTCATAACATGGATAAATCTGGAGGGCATTATGCTAAGTGAAATAAATCAATCACAAAAGGACAAATATTTATGAGACCACTATTATAAAAACCTAAGAAAAGGTTTCACACAGAAAAAAACAATCTTTGATGGTTATGAGGGAGGGAAGGGTTAGGGAGGGGAAATCACTAACTAGATAGTAGACAAGGGTTAACTTTGTTGAAGAAAAAACAACACACAATATAGGGGAAGCCAGCACAACTGGACCAAGGCAAAGTCATAGAAGTTTTCTAGACACATCCAAACACCTGGAGGGACGGAGTTGCTGGGGCTGAGGGCTGGGAACCAAAGGAGAATGAAGAAAACCAAAGACACAGAGAAAATGCTAGTACAGAGGACTAATAGACCACGTGAACCACAGCCTCCACCAGCCTGAGCCCAGAAGAACTAGATGGTGCCCGGCTACCACCACTGACAGCTCTGACAAGGATCATAATAGAGGGTCCCAGACAGAGCAGGAGAAAAATGTAGAACAAAAATCAAATTAAAAAAAAAAAAAAAGACCAGACTTACTGGTCTGACAGAGACTGGTGAGACTATGGCCCCCAGACATCCTGCTAACTCAGAACTGAAGCCACTCCCAAAGTTCACCTTTCAGCCAAAGATTAGACAGGCCTATAAACCAAACAACACATGTGAGGAATGTGCGTCTTAGTTCAATCAAATATACAAGACCAAATGGGCAACACTTGCCTAAAAGTAAAGAGGAGAAGGCAGGCAGGGACAGAAAAACTGGATAAATGGACATGGGGACCACAGGGTGTAAAGGGAAAGGGGGAGAGTGCTGACACATTGTGGGGATTCCAACCAATGTCACAAAATAATTTGTGTATAAATTTTTGAATGAGAACCTAATTTGTGTTGTAAACTTTCACCTAAAGCACAATAAAATAAACAAAACAATAAATCTTTGTAAACTTTAAACAAACAAAAAATAGTGAATTACCTTCTGCTGTGTGTAAATCTTAGGGAATTTGCTGAGGATGAAAACAAAGAAGGATAAATACCATTTAGTTTGGGATATAGGACATAGGCCTAAAAAGATAAATAAAAACACATGGTCGAATTTTGTTTTAAGTGTTAGCAGTAGCTAACCATTTACTGGTGCCCACTATCTGGCACTTACTAGGCACTTGGCATATATTTACACACATTTTTTAGTCTACAACAACTTCTGGGGGGTAAAATTTTATAATTCCCATTTCTCCAATGAGGAAATGGAGACTCAGAGAATGTAAGTAACTTGCTCAAAATCACACAGCTGCAGAGTGGCAAAGAGCAGAGTTGGGTTTGCAGCTGCTCCTCAGCACCATGTCAGATTTCTTTATTCTTTATTTTTCCCTAATTCAACTCCAATCACTGATGATGTGATCCTAAAGAAGGCTGTCTGGTATTTGATTTCATAATTGATTTGGGGACCATCTTTGTGGCACTGTTGTCTGTGTTCTTTGATGCCTTCAATTTGAACCAAAAGGATAAAAAAAAAAAAAATTTGTAAGTTTTTTTATATCCATAATGGTATCATTAAAGATTTTCTCATCTTTTGCTTTCAGATTTTCGAAGGAAATAGTAATAACAAAGGACATGTGAAGAACTTTTTCAATCCACCAATCATTTCCAGGTTTATCCGCATCATTCCTAAAACATGGAATCAAAGTATTGCACTTCGCATGGAACTCTTTGGCTGTGATATTTACTAGAATTTGATATTTAAAAAGACAGCAGGGACCTTTTAAAGTTGCAAACCATTTAGAGTTGGCAATGTATTTTATAGCTATTTTAAGCGTTAACAATTTTCTAGTATTTCTCTTTTTTTCTATTAGGGAATAAAATTTTATATGGAAACTTTTATAATGTAACACCTTGCTACCATTAAATGAGATGATGGCTGTTATTTCTACACTAATTTGAATACACGTGGGTAAATATCAAGAACCAACAAGAAAATGGCTCTTTCACAATGATTAAAAATGCTTAAAGTAATATTCATGTGGTTAACACATTTTATTTTCTCTTTTAAATCCTATACACATTAATAAAAGAGATATTACCATTGTAAAGCAGTTACAGACCTAGATGTCCATGGATGGTGCACCCAGAGGCACCTCAGAAGAAAGTCCTGGTGATCTACTTCAGAAAGATCACTGTCATTGAAAACCCTGTGAAGCACAGTTCTATTCTGAAACACATGGGGTTGGGCAACTGGTTACTGATTAGACCTGGATAGCTTTCACACCTACATTTTTCGTATAACAAACGGTGGCTTAAGAACAAAGGAAACAAGCAAGATTTTTAAATGGTTTGTTTTCCCCGATAGTGCAGAGAGTAACAGCCTTGTCATGTGAAATGATGAGCACTTAAAATATCCTGTCCTGCCTATGTGACAATGATTTTTCTGACCCTCCATGAGTAAAGATACAAGTAAACACATTTTCAGTAATCCAGCTGGACTTGTGAATCTGGCCTGATCTCCTTTGGGACTGATTACACATACTGATGTTCAATTTTTAGGGTCACTACACCTGTAACAGAACTAAAACAACCATGGGAGAACTGAATGTATGACCTTGGTTTCATTCTAGCTGGCACTACATGGCAGGCACATTGTTTGAAAACACAGGTTCACCTAAGGGAAAGCTAATATCTGTAAAACAGAGCAGTGGGCTGCTGGCCCAGATGCAGCCATTCCTGTCAGAACTGGCCCAGGCCAAACAGGCAAGCCATTCAAGTTTGCTTTCAGTGCTTCTCTCTGTGGTCCCAACCTCCTCATCAACCTTCCTCCAGCAACTTCCCCTTTCAGCACCCCACATGGAATAGATAGTCACTGTTTAGGCTATCTATTTTTGTGTAACAAATCATCCCAAAACTTAGTGCTCAAAGCAACCACCATTTTATTTTCTCACTAGTCTGTGGGTTAACTGGAGCCATCCGGGCAGTTCTTGTGACCCATGTGATTTTGGCTGGGGCTGCAGCCATCAGGAGTTGGAATGTCCAGGGTGGCTCCCTCACATATCTGGATGCTTGGTGGGGATGGCTGGAAGGCGGGGCTCGGAGGGGATGCTGGGATAGCTGGACCTCTCCCTCCCCACTCATCTCAAGGCCTCTCTCTGTGAGGCCTCTCCGTGTAACTTCTTCATGAAGTCTCTCCAGCCTCTCTTAGACTGGTTCCCTTCCATAAAATGGAAATTATAATGTTTATTATTCACCCCCTAGAGTGGTAGACATGAATATTAATTAATAATGATAATTTATAATCATTTTTAGTAACAATTAATAATGACTAAATTGGTCTGTAAAATACTTGTTTGGGGACAATGAGATGTTTAGAGCATGTCTGATGCTGTGTAGAAATACTAAAAACCATTTTCAATTTTGAAACCAAACGCATTTCCGTATTTTTATTTTTGAAATAATTTAGACAAAATTACAGTATTTGCTGCATAGTACATTCTCCTGTAATATAACATAGTCCAGTGTTTGTTATAAGTTGTTGCTATGGAAAGCTATTAAATGACTCACAGTGGAATCATGACTTGGAAGAAGAACCTGACAGATAAAATTCTAAACACTATTAGTCATTCTAATTGAAAGTTGGGAAATAGAAACTGTGAGTATGTCACAAATGTGGAAGGAGCAGAGGAAACAGGGAATTACTTCTCTTCATGCCAAACTTCATGCCACTTTTTAGAATAACTTTGGGAATAATCACCTTATTTTAGTTTAGGTCCATTTTGGTAAATCAGGTAAAAAGCCAATTTGTAGAAGGAGAGATAAATCATGAGCATTACCCAAGCAGCTTGGATCCTCACAACAGCCACAAATGACTCACCATGTACTTATCTGGATGGACAAAAAGGAACAATGTACTGACAGTGGGGTTTTGGTTCTGCAACTGGCACACACCTTAACGCACTGGGCCTAACACACACTTAAAAATATCTGACAGTTTATGTTACCATTTTTCTTGTTTGTTTGTTTCTTCCCCCGATAGAAAGAATTTTTATGGAAAATTCTGGATGCCTCATTCTTCCAAGTTCTTGCATTCTCATAGACTAGAAATAGGGAAAACAGTGGAGCACAGGCTGGTAAACATGATTTTGTGTGCAATGACATTGACATGGCCAGTGCTCAGGTGACAAGAATCTTCTTCAAATCCAGGAACTGTGCTAGGAGAGACTCTACAGAGATAGATGATTTGGGGATCTCTGGGTTGTGTAATGTTCCCACCAAAGACATTCATGTCTTTGACATATGGAAAGAAACATTAATAATATTAACCTCCCTTGATGTATTACCATCTTAATTTGTTTTAAAAAAATCTTTATTACGCTTCCTCTGCCTACACAATAAAGCACAAGGTGTATAAAAGAAATAACACTGCCTTGGCTCTTCAAACACTTGTTATCTAGTTGGATAGACAAGGTACATAAATATAAGTAGAGATTATGAGCCTATTAAACATAAACATTATGCCTGAGTAGTAAAAATTCGATCAAAGAAGTAACCTACGTGGGATGGAGTCAGTCTGGGAAAGCTTTCGGAGAAGGTGAGTTTGACCTAGGTCTTGAAGAGGACACTGGATGTATATCAGGCATTTGTACAGATCCCCAAAGAAACAGATTGGGATAAGGGTCAATGAAAACCAGAAATGTAAAAGTGCTTTTAGAGCTTGTGTTCAAATTCAGGACCCTGTAAGCTTTCTCCAACAAACACATCCATTTTCCCTTTTCCCCCTAGACACAGTCTGATATGGACTTACCCATCAACTTCCCTCCATCGCCTTGCACCATGCTCATCAATCCAGAGTGTTCACAAGGTCAATAGAAATAAAATGACAGCTACAGGGGTGGACCCAATGATCTGAGGGTGGAGTATACGACACACATAGATACAAGACATATCCCTAACCTGCAAACTATGAATGATAGATATGGTGACCAGATTAAAAGTGAGTCATCTCTGCAAAAGTTCTGGAGGACACCAACATTGGATAGGATTCTAACTTGCCCAGGATTAGATGAGAGGGCATATTGATCAGACAGAACTGCAGTGGAGTGAGAAGATGGGAGAAGAAGGTATGTTGTATGTGGGAGACTGACTAATAGAGAGATGAGACAATCACAGGTCTATCTGGAAAATCATGAGAGCTTAATGTGCTTGTGTCTTTGTTCTGTTTTATCACTGGTCCACATTTGAACCACCTCCAATTCATCACACTTTCAAGTTTTACATTTATAGGCAGCTTTCTTAATGTTATAGGAATTATGTGCAGATAATTTCATACCTACACCCACTGGACTTTTCATTGGCATGAAAGTTCCTCCTTGGTGACTAAAGAAGATTTCTGAAAGTCTGAAATGCGGCAGTCTTGGTTACAGATGTGACAGATAAAAACGTAAAACTTTTATTTTCTGAGTAGTCTGGAGGAAATGGAGACCTGGTGGCGCAGTGGTTAAGAGCTTGGCTGCTAACCAAAAAGGTGGGCAGTTCAAATCCACCAACCGCCCCTTGGAAACCCTATGGGGCAGTTCTCTCTGAGTCAGGATCGACCAGACAGCAATGGTTTTTTGTTTTTTGTTTTTTTTCTGGAGGAAATAGTGACAAAAGCTATATATCTTTGTAAAGTGCTTAGAATAGTACCTTGCACATAGAAAGCACTCTTGTTGTTGTTAGCTGCTGTTGAGTCAATTCCAACTCACAAAACCCCGTATGTGCAGAATGGAACGGCTCCATAGGGTTTTCAAGGCTGCGACCTTTCAGAAGTTGATCATGAGGCCTGTCTTCCCTGGTGCCTCTGAGTGAACTCAAACTGCCAACCTTTCGGCTAGTAGTTCAGCACCTAACTATTTGCCCCACCCAGGGACTTCAAGCACTCTCTAAAAAAAACCCATTACCATCTATAGCTGTTAATTTATTATTAATGTTAACATTACTAATAACAACAATAATAAAAAATATATTACAATATTAACATAATGGTACTAATAATTATTAGTAACATGATTATTATTAGTTGCTGCTGTATCTCTAATGCCTTTTCTATATTGCTCATTACCTTTCGTTGCAACTCTATCTTCTACCTGTAACTCCACGCTTTCCCCAGTAGGTGGTGAGTTTGGTTTAACTGTACCTGAGGACCTTCTGAGTACTTTTCACAGAGATCAAGCCTTAATTATCCAGGCTAAACAAAGAATTGACGAGCTTGCATTGACATTTCCTCAGTGGATTTATCTGGCCTAATTACATTTTGCCCAGGGTTTTTGTTAGGTGCTGTGGCATCAGTTCTGACTCATAGCGACCCATATACGGCAGAACGAAGCACTGCCCAATCCTGTGCCATCCTCACAATCACTATGCTTGAGCCCACTGTTACAGCCACTGAGTCAATCCATCTCATTGAGGGTTTTCCTCTCTTTCACTGCCCCTCTACTTTACCAAGCATGATGTCCTTCTCCAGGGACTGATCCCTCCTGATAACATGTCCAAAGTATATGAGACTTAGTCTCGCCATCCTTGCTTCTAAGGAGCATTCTGGCTGTACTTGTTCCAAGACATATTTGTTCGTTCTTCTGGCAGTGCATGGTATATTCAATATTCTTCCGTAATTGAAAGGCATCAATTCTTCTTCGGTCTTCCTTATTCATTGTCCAGCTTTCGCCTGCATGTGAGACAACTGTAAATACCATGGCTTGGATCAGGTGCACCTTAGTGACATCTTTGCTTTTTAACACTTTAAAGAGATCTTTTGCAGGAGATATGCCCAATGCAATGCGTCTTTTGATTTCTTGACTGCTGCTTCCATGGATGTTGATTGTGGACCCAAGTAAAATGAAATCCTTGACAACTTCAATATTTTCTCCATTTACCATGATGCTGCTTATTGGTCCAGTTGTG